ACCCACATTTCACATATTGTACCCACATTTCACATCCTGTACCCACATTTCACATCCTGTACCCACACTTCACATATTGTACCCACATATTTACATCCTGTACCCACACTTCACATATTGTACCCACACTTCACATACTGTACCCACATTTCACATCCTGTACCCACACTTCACATATTGTACCCACACTTCACATATTGTACCCACATTTCACATACTGTACCCACACTTCACATATTGTACCACATCGGAACATTGAGGTGAATCATTGTGAAGTGTTTGGCAACAAAGTTGTGCAACATGAGACAAATGTACCCGCTACACGCGAGGGTAACTTGTGCCCAATGTTTCTAGGCTGAGTTCATTACGTTAGAAGTGTGGGGTGTGTGTGTGTGTGGGGGGGGGTTGTTCATGACGATTGAAGTCTGGGGTGTGTGTGGGCGGGGGCCGAGTTCGTGACGTTAGAAGTGTGTGTGGGGGGGGGGGGGAGGGGAGGATTGTTGCGTCCATCCCACGGGTCCAACAGTCGAGGTACGACCAGTTGCTTGTTGGACCAAGCTCCACCCACCCCCCTGGCCTGGTCCTTCAATAGGAACTAATGACAGACGGGGACCAGATGACCCCAGGACATCAAGGTCACCCACTGGTCAATCTCCAACAGTTTTTTCCTAGCCGCCCGGACCCGCGGACTTTTCATATGTAAATAGACACCACGTGGTGCGTGACAGAGACAAATAACTCTCTGGCACCCGGCCATGGGTGGGGTGGGTGGGGGTGGGGGTGATAAAAAGTGAGGTTTGGTTCAGTTTTGTTGGAGCATGCTGAGACAGTGAGTATACGTAGTAGACACAAGACATACCCTAGGAGACACACGAGACAGATACACTTGGAGACACAAGAGACACACGTATCAGACACACACGTCAGGCAGGCACACGTAGGCCTACAAGACACACGCAAAGGTCACACAAGACAGACACACGAGAGAAAAGCACGAATGAGACACAAAAGACAGAGAGAAAAACACAAATGAGACACAGAAGACAGAGAGAGAAAAAACTAGAGAGAAGGTTAAACAGGCAGACGTAAAGCTCCAGATCAGGTTTCAATTATCTAGACAGGGTTGCGGTCAATTCCTCACGTGCTTTGTTCCAGCCATATTGACCCGTGATCCATCATGATCACGTGACCAATCAGTGATTGGGTTAATTGCACGGAAAAAAAACTATTGGGGGAGGGAGGGGGAAGTATTGGGAACTTCTAGGGAACACGGCGGGAATAGTTTGATCAGAAGACATTCTAGCCAGAGGTGTCAGTCTAGTGGTCAACTTTGAGTCCGTTGGTCAATTAGTGGTCACTGTCTGGTTCTTCTGTCTACTACAACAGTACAGGACCACACAGCGTACATCACAAGACAACCGACGTGACAATATTAACGCTGATAGTAAATACAATTAAGAATTTAATACAAGAGATAGATAATAAAAAAAAATACGAGTACAGGAATACTTAACACTACAGCACATAACAGGTCCTCTCGCTGTACGCACACCCTAGCATACTCTGTCACCCGTCAACTGTCACACACACACACTGTCACCTGACACACCTCACGTGAACACCTCTCCCTCCATGTAAACACACTCAACCAAGGGTCACACCTATACACCAGAAGAGGGTACCTGTGGTTAGACCACACCACAGTGGACACTACATGTAAGGGACGTAACAGTCACCATCCGTCAGTCGGGGAGTCGGCTGGTCACCCCTCGTCGCCACTTGTGCTCAACCCAAGTCACCACTTGTGGTCATTCACGACTAGATCTAGCTGCTGCACAGCTTCAAAACCTGGCCAATATTTGTCCGCAGTCATGGGATAGGTTTATAACAAATGGGATAAGTTTATAACAAATGGGATAGGTTTATAACAAATGGGATAGGTTTATAACAAATGGGATAGGTTTATAACAAATGGGATAAGTTTATAACAAATGGGATAGGTTTATAACAAATGGGATAGGATTATAACAAATGCGATAGTTTAAAATGCGATAAATGCATAATAAATGGGAAAGATTAATTTTTAAAAATTGAACAGTTGCATTACAAAAACGAAATAAAACATTTAAAAAAAACATTCCTGCCCTTTTAAATAGGGATTTCAAAACATTTCAAGTTCTAGAAGATCAAGTTTATTTGAGTCGCTATTGTTTTGCCGGTGACTAGGTTTTTAATTTCCTCTTGCTCTGACGTCACTTAGACGAGGAAAAAGTAAACAAAAGGAAATTAAAACTAAAGTAGATGACGTCAGCGGTAAAATTAATTTTGATCACTGAGATGAATAAATAAACAGCTTACACAGAATGCTTAGCCTCGTTTTGATTTGTTTTCGTCGCACCAGGTCTTACCCTTTCAAGGGATGTTGAGTAAATATTTTAACCCAGTTATGACGGCATCAAATGAGTTGGCCCTGGGACCAGTTCAATATTTTTGACGTGGACCAAAAATGTGTTTTCTCCATTATGTCTTTTCGGTTTTTGGGTGGCCTTACGGTACAAAAATTAAAACTACAATTTCAGAAAAGAAATTTAATCCTTGTATTGAATCGTGACATTCAATTTTTTGGGGGGCGGACAAAAATTTCCGGGGGGGGGGGAGGGTCGGTCGTACATATATATATATATATATATATATATATATATATATATATATATATATATATATATATATATATATATATATATATATATATATATATTCTATATAAAATTTCTATTTGCGCTTTTTTCTGTGAGCGCTTTTTTCTGCATGCGCATTTTTCTGTGTGCGCAATTTTCTGTTTGCACTTTTTCCGTTTGCACTTTTTTCGTTGCGCATTTTTTTTTACCTTTTTTCCTTTGCGCATTTTTTAGTTGCGCTTGTGATATAAAAATGGGGTGTTTATTTTCTGATATTTTGACCATCGAGAATTGTGTGTTAATTTTGTGATGTTACCAGTACATGGTGCTCATGTAGTTACATCCCCTCTATAAAGTTCTTATGCAACGCTACCCCACACCCACGCCTACCCCTATTCCACGCCTACCCCCACCCCCACGCCTACCCCCACCCCACGCATACCCCACCCCCACAACAGCATCACACGGCTGTAGAAAGATGAAAAACTTGGCTCCTGGGACGAAAATTGAATTTTTAAATTTGATCTTGTCCTAGCCACAAGGGAGATTTGTAATGAGTGGAGAGACACCACGTGTAATTAGCTAGTTAATTATTCATGCTCCAGAGGGACTGTGTGAAGCTCAGATGGAGCTCAGATGGAGCTTATGTTCTAGTGTAAGGGTAAAACATGAACAGTGTGTGACACCAAAACATGAACATTTGCTGATTTAGGTGTATGGTCCCAAAACATGAACATTTGATGATTAAGTAGTATGGTACCAAAACATGAACATTTGCTGATTTAGGTGTATGGTACCAAAACATGAACATTTGATGATTTAGGTGTATGGTACCAAAACATGAACATTTGATGATTTAGGTGTATGGTACCAAAACATGAACATTGCTGATTTAGGTGTATGGTACCAAAACATGAACATTTGATGATTTAGGTGTATGGTACCAAAACATGAACATTGCTGATTTAGGTGTATGGTACCAAAACATGAACATTTGCTGATTTAGGTGTATGGTACCAAAACATGAACATTTGATGATTTAGGTGTATGGTACCAAAATGTGAACATTTGCTGATAGTCTATCTAAGATCAACCCCAATGGAGTCAGGCATGGAGGTTGTTAAAGGTCCCTTAGGTGACGTCATAGTTAAAGTAACTTCACAATCACCGTGGGTCAATGTTAATTAACCTAATTAAGATTCACTGGAGAAGTCGTGCTCAATTAGGTCAGTGCATTTACATATACTAGTTACTCGCACTAAGTATGTTTGTGTAGGTGAGGGATATCTATCTGCATCAGATAGTCTGATCAGAGATATCTGTGTGAATTACCCTACAGACTTTGACCCGACAAATGTTACAGCCTACAGACTTTGACCAGACAAATGTTACAGTCTACAGACTTTGACCAGACAAATGTTACAGCCTACAGACTTTCATTTTCCCTGTATTGGGCTGACATTTCAAGCGGTGCTTTGGATTTTTCTCCCTTTGATCGAGTGCATTAGCAGACGATGGGTACTGGGGCGCACCGTGTTCGGCACTTGGGGCTCACGTGACCCTTGAACTCGTCACTTTGAGACTACTTGAGCAGACAGGGAAGGGAAAACAGATTTCTTGTATCACGTGATCTTGACGCACGCGCTGGTGTACAAATACCTTCGTAGAGGTAGTGGGGAGGGGGAGGTTCGAATCAAAACTCAGCAAGCTGGTGGTAGTGGGGGTTTTATTCAAGGGTTCAGTGAGCTGGTGGTTGTGGGGTTTTTATTCAAGGGTTGAGTAAGCTGGTGGTAGTGGGGGTTTTATTGAGGGGTTCAGTGAGCTGGTGGTAGTGGGGGTTCTATTTAAGGGTTCTGTGGCAGAGGTATCTGGGAGTTGCCTAAAACAAAAGATAGGTAGGTAGCTGATCCCCCCCCCCCTCCAACAACGTGAGATTACCACCAAACACATAAAAATACCATCGATAAAAACAGAACTGGTAAGATCGTTTGAAGGTAGTTGCTAGTTTTTCTTCTAGTTGGATGGGTAGGGCTATGTTACATTATGTCCTATTAGTGGTTGTAGAAAGTGTATGATGTTTTGATGGTGTGTGAGGAAGTAAATATAATGATGGTATGATGGTGAATGAGGATGTAAATATAATGATGGTATAATGGTGGGTGAGGAAGTAAATATAATGATGGTATGATGGTGAGTGAGAAAGTAAATATAATGATGGTATGATGGTGAATGAGGATGTAAATATAATGATGGTATGATGGTGGGTGAGGAAGTAAATATAATGATGGTATGCAAATAAAACACGTGCAACCTTGTACTCACCTCCATCTTGTCTGTTCCAACAATGACGTCACGTCCGTTAGATAGCTTCAACCACGAGAAAACTTCTGGCACTCTACAGACTGCCAGGCCCCTCCCTTAACGTGATGTTCCATGTCCCCCACGGGATTACAAACTGTTGAAAGCTGTTGCCGTCTGGAATAGATGGCATCAAGTGTTGACATTAGATGTCATCAAGTGTTGACATTAGATGTCATCAAGTGTTGACATTTGATGTCATCAAGTGTTGACATTAGATGTCATCAAGTGTTGACATTTGATGTCATCAAGTGTTGACATTAGAAGTCATCAAGTGTTGACATTAGATGTCATCAAGTGTTGACATTAGATGTCATCAAGTGTTGACATTTCCATCTTAAGCATGCACGCAGGGACATACAGAGTGGACCTCACGAGAACATACACATATAACATGGTTACATAGAGAACATACACATATAACATGGTCACATGGAGAACATACACATATAACATGGCCACATGGAGAACATACACATATAACATGGCCACATGGAGAACATACACATATAACATGGTCACATGGAGAACATACACATATAACATGGTCACATGGAGAACATACACATATAACATGGTCACATGGAGAACATACACATATAACATGGTCACATGGAGAACATACACATATAACATGGTCACATGGAGAACATACACATATAACATGGCCACATGGAGAACATACACATATAACATGGCCACATAGAGAACATACACATATAACATGGTCACATGGAGAACATACACATATAACATTGTCACATGGAGAACATACACATATAACATGTTCACATGGAGAACATACACATATAACATGGTCACATGGAGAACATACACATATAACATGGCCACATGGAGAACATACACATATAACATGGTCACATGGAGAACATACACATATAACATGGTCACATGGAGAACATACACATATAACATGGTCACATGGAGAACATACACATATAACATGGTCACATGGAGAACATACACATATAACATGGTCACATGGAGAACATACACATATAACATGGTCACATGGAGAACATACACATATAACATGGTCACATGGAGAACATACACATATAACATGGTTACATAGAGAACATACACATATAACATGGCCACATGGAGAACATACACATATAACATGGTCACATGGAGAACATACACATATAACATGGCCACATGGAGAACATACACATATAACATGGCCACATGGAGAACATACACATATAACATGGTCACATGGAGAACATACACATATAACATGGTCACATGGAGAACATACACATATAACATGGTCACATGGAGAACATACACATATAACATGGTCACATGGAGAACATACACATATAACATGGTCACATGCCTGTTTCACGCTTTTAGACATACAAACACGAAGCATACAACCAACACATACAGTTAATATTTGATAATGACATTTTCAACAAAACCACACATATACAAATACGACATAACAGCAACATATAGAAATACACCATTACTACAACACAGTGGCGTAAGGGAGGGGGTTATAATTCTCCCCCCCCCCCCACACCACCACCACCATTGACCCCTCTGTAAAAAAAATTTTGTCATACTTGTTTATATCTATTTCTTAATCTGTATATATGGTTATGTACGTTTAGAAAGGTCATCTAAAACCGACGCTATGTTCACACTGAGTTGGTTATTCCCCCCCCCCCCCCCCACCTCACCGCCTAAACGGGACAGGCGGTAATTGTGTATAACAACATTAATGTCACACCAAGGTATACTCTGGGTAAGATAATAGACATAAAGTGACCGGACAGTGGTGAATGAAGTTAACCCCCCCTCCCCCCCCCCCACCCCTGTACTGATCTGTTAAGTAATGAGGCACCCAACGCAGGGGGAAAACTACCATCCCGCCAGACATTGCCATTCCCAAAATACGACCAAAAACAATAACAAAAAAAATATTCACTTGATAGACTCATGTAGTTAAAAAAAAAAAAGATCTACTACAGGAGAGATTGTTCTACAGTCTACAGCAGGGGTTCCCAACCCCGTGCCCGCGGGCGCTATGGCGCCCGCCGAACGATTCGTATGTGCCCGCCTCTCACAATATTGACAGAGACAATTTTTTTCATAAACATTATTGAAAGGTTGAAGGGGATGGAAATCAAAAGTTTGAGGGGGGGGGGTGCAAATCGAAAGTTTGAGGGGGGGGGGGGTGCAAATCGAAAGTTTTGTCCCCGGGTGACGGGAAGGGTCGCTACGCCTCTGGAAGGAGTTTGTCGATTTTACATAGGTGGTGCCCGCCACCTTACCGATATTTTAGAATGTGCTCTAGAGTAAAAAAAAAGGTTGGGAACCCCTGGTTTACAGTAACACAAATTATTGCATGGACAAAAAAAAACAACTATATCAGTTGGAGTGTTAAGATAGTCAAACCTATATGGAAAAAAATGTGAATTTCTTCCCCCCCCCCCCCCACCAGAAACGATCCTGGCTACGCCACTGCACTACAAAACATACAAAAACGAAATTACAACATCTCTAGATGAGTATAAAGTGCTTGTACAGACAGAGGTACACGATCTAAGATACGCCTGGTCCAGTCTAAGACTTGCAACATTCAAATATTGACTTGCGCAATGGCAAACATTTTAACACAAGATCTATTTGCACGGTGCAGTACAAGAAAAAAAAAACATTAAAAGAAATCGTAAGTATTAGGTCGCGTGGTCAGTTTGTGATGAAGATATTTGTGTACCTGACCACGATCACGTGGTGCATGTGGCGTGGTTATCACGTGATCTGCTCTAGCAGTAACCTGTCATGATCCAGGTGTTTCACGCGTCAACCAGGTTTGTGTCAACCATCTTGGGGTTGTCTCATCTTGCAGCCACTAAGTGCTGATCAGACTAGTTTAAACAGGAAATGACGTCAGAGAAATTGATGAATCCATCAACAGAGCCATTAAAGCCCTGGATTTGGGACATCTCTTAATTCGTGGTTCGTCGGGTGAGGAAGACTGGTTTTTTTAGAGTACAAGATGGCTTTTTGTTTGTGTAAGGATAAGATGGCTTTTTGTTTGTGTAAGGATAAGATGGCTTTTTGTTTGTGTAAGGATAAGATGGCTTTTTGTTTGTGTAAGGATAAGACGACTTTTGATTGGTTAAGGATTTGATGGCTTTTTGTTTGTGTAAGGATAAGACGACTTTCTATTGGTTAAGGATTTGATGGCTTTTTGTTTGTGTAAGGATAAGACGACTTTCTATTGGTTAAGGATTTGATGGCTTTTTGTTTGTGTAAGGATAAGACGACTTTCTATTGGTTAAGGATTTGATGGCTTTTTGTTTGTGTAAGAATAAGACGACTTTCTATTGGTTAATGATTTGATTGCTTTTTGTTTGTGTAAGGATAAGACGACTTTTTATTGGTTAAGGATTTGATGGCTTTTTGTTTGTGTAAGAATAAGATGGCTTTTTATTGGTTAAGGATTTGATGGCTTTTTGTGAGTGTAATGACTAGATATGTTTTGTTTAGTCAAGTTATTGGTGAAAGTACTCTATGTAAGTAAGTTTCCCTTTCAAACTTGACGGTCTATGGGGCAAGTGAAGTAGAGTTCACTTGTTTTTGTGGCCTCGGCATATACTCTATGTACACCCTGACATTTGTGTAAATCCTGACATTTGGCTGACATTTTTGTACACACTGACATTTTTGTACATACTGATATTTTGTACAAACTGACATTTTTGTACATACTGATATTTTGTACACACTGACATTTTTGTACACACTGACATTTTTGTACACACTGACGTTTTTGAACACACTGACATATTTGTACACACTGACATTTTTGTACACACTGACATTTGGTTGACATTTTTCTACACACTGACATTTTTGTACACACTGATATTTTTGTACAAACTGATATTTTTTTAGAAACAACTGGCACAAAAAACATTTCGTTCAAGGGTGACCTAACAACATCAGACGTCAAACTGGTTTACATTCGTTTTATCAAACATGAAGCAGTTTCAAACAATAGCAGACGTGAAACATTTTTTGTATCGAACAGCAGACGTTTAACAGTTTGTCCGTTTCAAAGGTGACCCTGCCAGCAACAAAGGTGACCCAGGCACCAGCCGTAAAACAAAGGTGACCCAGGCACCAGCCGTAAAACAAAGGTGACCCAGGCACCAGCCGTAAAACAAAGGTGACCCAGGCACCAGCCGTAAAACAAAGGTGACCCAGGCACCAGCCGTAAAACAAAGGTGACCCAGGCACCAGCCGTAAAACAAAGGTGACCCAGCCACCAGCCGTAAAACAAAGGTGACCCAGGCACCAGCCGTAAAACAAAGGTGACCCAGGCACCAGCCGTAAAACAAAGGTGACCCAGGCACCAGCCGTAAAACAAAGGTGACCCAGGCACCAGCCGTAAAACAAAGGTGACCCAGGCACCAGCCGTAAAACAAAGGTGACCCAGGCACCAGCCGTAAAACAAAGGTGACCCAGGCACCAGCCGTAAAACAAGTTCCATTAGACGTTCATCAATCTCTCACGACTGAAATATCATCAGAAAATCAATTCGCGGACAGAAAAACTGACGGACACAGATACATCACACCGTCTGTCAGATAATTTATGTGTCACTTTAAAAACTGACGAGGTAAAAAATAAAGTCGATTCGATTTTACTAAGCCGGGCTTAAGACTCAGTTTAGTCATACAGGGGAGTTTTTAGAAGTATTTTAGTCATACAGTGAAGTTTTAGAAGTATTTTGGTCATACAGTGAAGTTTTTAGAAGTATTTTAGTCATACAGTGAAGTTTTTAGAAGTATTTTAGTCATACAGTGAAGTTTTTAGAAGTATTTTAGTCATACAGTGAAGTTTTTAGAAGTATTTTAGTCATACAGTGACGTTTTTAGAAGTATTTTAGTCATACAGTGACGTTTTTAGAAGTATTTTAGTCATACAGTGAAGTTTTTAGAAGTATTTTAGTCATACAGTGAAGTTTTTAGAAGTATTTTAGTCAAATATGGAAGTGGTTTCTTTTATTTCCTCATCCATAAGATTTGAAACAAAATTTGTCCAGATTAGATTAGAAACAAAATTTGTCCAGACACCATCAAAGCACCAGCCACAATCCTGACTCAAGTAAACAAAAGGAAACATGAGACGAACCCCTCCCCCCCCCCTCCACTGAACCCTCATCGAACCCCTGGTGAAGATACCCAGTGAAATCAGTTTTACAGCCACCGTGCCCGCCTGAAAAATTTCCCAACGGTCGTAAAACGAAATGTCGTCATCACCATAAAAACGACTGGACATTTTTATCCTCCGACAACCAGTGGCACTAATAAACTTGGCCAACCGTGTCGTGTCACGCCTGACCCAGCACGTGAGGGCGTCTCAAGATCACGTGACTTCTTCTATCTCAGATATTGCCAGTGGTACCTTGTGCGTGGGATGTCAAGCCACAGGTTCGGTGTTATCTCATAGCTATCTCAGTATTATCTCAGTATTATCTCATAGTTATCTCAGTATTATCTCAGTGTTATCTCGTAGCTATCTCAGTATTATCTCAGTGTTATCTCAGTATTATCTCAGTATTATCTCAGTATTATCTCATAGTTGTCTCAATGTTATCTCAGTGTTATCTCAGTGTTATCTCAGTATTATCTCAGTGTTATCTCAGTGTTATCTCATAGCTATCTCAGTATTATCTCAGTATTATCTCATAGTTATCTCAGTATTATCTCAGTATTATCTCAGTGTTATCTCAGTGTTATCTCATAGCTATCTCAGTATTATCTCAGTGTTATCTCAGTATTATCTCAGTGTTATCTCAGTATTATCTCAGTGTTATCTCAGTGTTATCTCAGTATTATCTCAGTGTTATCTCATAGCTATCTCAGTGTTATCTCAGTATTATCTCAGTATTATCTCAGTGTTATCTCAGTATTATCTCAGTGTTATCTCAGTGTTATCTCAGTATTATCTCAGTGTTATCTCATAGCTATCTCAGTGTTATCTCAGTGTTATCTCAGTATTATCTCAGTGTTATCTCATAGCTATCTCAGTGTTATCTCAGTGTTATCTCAGTATTATCTCAGTGTTATCTCAGTATTATCTCAGTGTTATCTCATAGCTATCTCAGTGTTATCTCATAGCAGGGGCGGAACTACAGTGCCGCCAGACCCTGCAATGCGGGGGGGGGGGGGGGGGGGGCAGGCCATTTAGGGGCCCAAAGCCGACCTGAATCAACTTTTTTATAGTTAAAAAAATTTTTTTTTACCACAAAAAAAAAACAACAACAGATCTACTACAGTAGTGATGTTCTACAGTAGCTAACACACGCTGTTTCATAAAGGAAAAACATATGTAGCTACATGAGTTGTAGTGTGATAGATAGGCACAGGTTCAAACAACTTCCATGACTTATTTCCCTTTTTTAAATAGTGAAATACGTGTGCTCTCAATTAAGAAACTTTGTTTTTGCACTAAACAAATTAAAAAGCAATTACTTCTCTTAATTATTATTTATAAAAAATAATTAATGAAGAATGACATAGTATAAAAGGAAATGTATTAAAAACTAATAATATAAATACAAAAATACTTAAATTTAAAACATAAGACGAGAAACCATTACACATAAAAAGCTTTCATGCTTCATATTCAATTGACCGCCTTGTAAATTAGGAAGCACCATGTTAGACATTAAAATAGAGAAAAAATTCAAAACAGACTTCCGGTATAAGTTCAAACATATTCACTTAGTTATTCTTATACTTATGTCTATGTCAATTGTCATTCTGGTCTTGCGGAGTCCAACATTGTTTAACCTGTATTGGCTACTGGTGATATAAAAAATAATATTAAACAGTTACAACATGAGCTTAAAGCTTCAAAATTTTCTGAAAATCTTGATGTAGATGGGTTGGTAAGCGGCTCACCAAAAACATACTTGAGTATATACCATTACCTGTTCACATCTTACAGTACTAAATTTAATAAAGACATTGCCAACTCCAACAATGAGCTGTATGGGAAATCAGACATGAGATTTATGGAAGCAGTTTACAAGATCTTAAGAGATATGTTTGATAACAAGCCTCAGATTCACCGTGAACAATTTTTTTCTCCTGTTTTTGCTGAGCGAAAGATTATAATGGCCATTGATATTCTAAAACTAATCAAAAACCGTTATAAACCAGTCAAAAGCTCAACTTTTAAAGTTGCAAGTATTAAAGATGAAAGCACCCCAAAATCTGAAAAGATCCTGCAAGAGCCCCATGAGCACACCGTAAAATTGCAAGCAAATCATCTACAAGCATTGCTGGGGCTGTCATTTTGCCTGTCAGAATGTCTAGTGGATTTTTGAAAGTTCCAAAGTCTGCATATGCTGATCTCAGAATTTCTGAGGGAGCAGGCTTTGATGATGAAGAAATTGAAATAACAAAAAACAATAACAAACAAGCTAGAAGGGTGTATCCAACTGATGAAATTAGTTTTAGTGAAATAAAAGATACAGCTGCTAAGCAAGCAGGAAAAGATGTTATTATTCAGAGTAAGCAAGTAATAGATCCTGAATTGCTAAATGCAGAAGTAAGACGGAAAGTAGTAGACTTGATATCACCAGCACTTTTAAAGATTAATGAACAGATTGGAAAGTTAAGCATTTCTTTGAAGAATTTAGAACTGAAGCAGACACCAAAACCAACAGAAGAACCACAATCATCTACAGCTCTTACAGCTGGAATAGCTAAGCAAATGAATGATGTAATATTTAAACTTGACACACTTACATCCAGAGTTGTCTTTATTGAAAACAGACTAA